TTCCTTATGTCCTAAGCTTCTCAAACACTATATATACACAACTGGTACTCACCTTAGTTAACCAAGTTTAAACCTTGAAGAAACACTAATAACTGCAAATTTATATCTTCAAAAACCAGCTCTAAATGCAGCTAATAGAAGGGGAAAACGATTGCCACGTGTAGGGATTACGTTTCTAGGCATAGGGGCAATGTTTAATGGTAAAAATCGTCTAAAACTAACCTTCATCATGCTAGAACTCTATAAGAACCCTCTTTTAAGCTTTCTCTCTGGTTTGGAACTAAAATGAAATGTTTTCATGGCTTAAAACGTAAAATAAGCTGACATACCATATTTTTGACCTGACCCGAATCTGACCCGGATTCTGCCCCGGCAGTCCCTAGTAAAACCGTCATAACTTTTTAATCTGATGTTGATTTGATACGCGGTTTTGTGTGTTGCAAACTAGACTCGTAGGTCTTCCATTTAATGGGTTATAGGTCTTCTAACTCTTTATATATTGGGAGAAAAGATCCAATACATTTGACCCAAATTTCATAGAAATCTTTAAAAAGGAACTTACGATAACTTTCACCCACTTTTATTTTGCGACTTACCTTACTTCAAAACTTGAGATACAACCCTTGAACACTTAAAATATGACATACCACATCATTCTTAATTTATTACTCACCCTCCTTATCTTTCCACGAAGATACGAGTTAATTTAGACGTTTTGAAAAGTCAGGGTGTTACAATATATAAATTGGATACAACCTTAACTTGTTTTAGATTGTCTAATTTGGTTGAAATATCAATTACATTTTTATTTTTTTCATTTTCAAGTGGGATATCTTTTGGATACCAAATTGATAGCAATTGAATACAACATTAACTTGTTTAGGTTGTCTAATTCGGTTGAAATCTCAACTACATATTGATCTTTCAATTTTCCAATAGGATATCAATTCGATACTAAATTTATACAAAATATTAACTAGTTTTACGTTGGCTATTTCAGTTGAAATCTCAATTATATGTTTTTTTTTTCAATTTTACCACTGGGACGTCAGTTGGATACCAAATGTATACCAATTTCATACTAAGATTTGACTTAATTTTTTCGGTCGATATCAATCGCTTACCAACATTACCTATTTTTTGAGAATAGATTCGAAAAATACTTAATACACAAATGATTAACTTGCACACATAATAAATATTTTGAAATTATATTTCACTAACTTAAAAGACAAAATAAATCAAAACATGAGTTTGCCACAATAAAACAACCAAATAAAAATAAAAATAAATTATGTCTTTTTTCAGAAGGGTAATTTGAACATGTCTTTCTGTTGTGTTCCTCCCGACGACATGTACTATACGTAATCTTAGACCTCTTGAATTTCACATCAACAAACCATTTTGAACCAGGCGACAATAATTTATGCTCCGACACTTTTTGAATTACATATTTTCCTGTTTCATCATAAATTATTGTGTCAGTATTACATCATACAAAAGTGGAAATAACTTTTATACATATATTATATCAGTATACAAATTTCAGAACATTTTTATGCATACAAAAGTAAAAATACATATGTTATTTTTAAACAATTTCATATGTTATTACAGAATACAAAAGTAAAAACACATATGTTATATCAATATACAAATTTCATACAATTCTTATTCACACATTTCTTACCTATTTCATGCCAAAAGTTATCAATTATTCATACCAGGATCATGCCACTAGAATACCAAAATAATTCCAACTTAGAAATATTAATTGTCATTTTTTAATAAACAGTATACCAAGTTCATTACATTATTATTCTCAAAATTCATTACAATATAATGCCAAAAAAATAATCCAATCAAACTAGAAATCGTACAAAAAAAACATTATCGAGTGTCATACATGTCTGATAGTATTAGTATACAAATTTCAAAGAAAAAATTATCTATTTTTTAAACAATAAATATACCAAAATTCAATGTTCATACCAAAATATAACATTATACATTTTTTAAAAAAAAAAACGTCATAATTCAAATTATTATACACAACAAAAAATCTGAAATCAGTATACAATTTTCATACAATTATTATGCACACTTTTCATACCTATTTCATGCCAAAATTATACCTATTTCATGCCATAAGTCGTCACATTTTCACAGCAGAATCATGTCACTATAACTATTAATTGTCATTTATTAGACAAATAATATACGAAATTCATTCAAATATAATTTTAAAATCGTACCAACATGGTATAACCAATATACCAAATTCAAATAAATTTTATGTAATTTCTTAACCAGAAACATACAAAAAAATTAATGTTCAAACCAAAATCTATACCAATTTCAAACAAATTTTATGTAATTTCAAAAGTGAATATTAATACCAAAAACGTCATAATTAAAACTATTATACACAAACAAAATCTGATTTTTTTTTTCAGAATCACTGTTCATAATTTTTTTTAACGTTTGGTTTGTATTACAATACAAATAAAAAATCGCAAAGAACACTAACTTGAAGGATCCCATCTACCATCATGCTTTATTGATACTAATAAGAAGCCGTCTATTACAATCAAAATAAAGATTATTGAATAAAAACGAATATAAATTAGATGACAATGACAGTTTACAGAGAAAATATTGAGAAGGGAGAGAAACCTTCCAACAAAAGAAAATAAATACGTTTGAACGAATTTTAATTGCTTTGAGCTAAACAAGGAAAACAAATATTCTTTATTTTTTTGAATTAATTTTAACTGATTGAGTAAAAAAAGGAAAACAAATATTTTGTTTTGAATCCCCTAAATTTATGGCATTATTAATTATCCTTAATGTATTCAAATTAATGACATGTCTGTTTTTTTCTTTTTATGATTTTCAATTTTTTTTTTTATTAATTTCAAAATCTTTGTTTTTTAATAAAATATTACAACCTGAAACTTTTTTTTATTTCAACTTGAAAATTTTATTATACTGTCATAACTTGAAAATATTAATCTTATATATGTCATTTATAAAATTTTCACAGTTGTATAGGCCCATATGCTCGACCAAACCCATTGGGCTATTGCTATACTCTATGAATTTAGTCCATCATGTAATGAAACATAATGAGACAAGCTGTTTAATTATCTTTTAGAATGGAATTATTTTTGGAAAAATTATAGAAATCTCACATTTAAGTTTACTTATTACCATTATTCCCTATAAGTTTTACAAATCTCCAAAATTCCTCATTTTCGCGCATCAGATTAGTGTATCAACGCTTATATTATTGTATCTCGCGCATCAGATTAATGTATCAGAGCTATATAAGTCTTGATACATGCGCGAGATACAATAATATAAGCACTGATACATTAATCTGATGCGCGTGATACAGTAATATAAACGCTGATACATTAATCTGATGCACGAGATACAATAATATAAGCGCTGATACACTAATCTGATGCGCGAAAATGAGGGATTTCTATAATTATAAACTTTTAAGGGATAAATTGTAATTTTTCCTTAAAAGTATGTGATTTCTGTAATTTGCCCTTTTTTTTTTTTTTATAGTTTTAAATATATACAATTAAAATAATTAGTTTACAATAAATATAATTATGTTTTTATTAAGATAAAAATATTCAAAAATCATACTAGTATACACTGACTATACATTAGGATACACTCAAAAGCTAAATATAGCTTACCTATACATGAACTATACATTATGATAACTCAAAAAGCTGAATATAGCTTAACCATGCATGAATTATACTATGACTATTTATCAAACTATTTATTCCGAATATTTATTAGGCTAATTAAAGAAGAAGGAAAATGATGAGAAATAGTTAAAGGAAAAATGAAACCGAATACAAGGAAAAAATAAACCGAAAAACCGAATATACACTCTTATATACAATTCTGTGTGTGTAGATTGCCTTTTGGAACAAATAACAAAATCCTCACTTGGATTTCTCAGGGTCCAAAATTGAACTACCAATTTCTTAACACTAATTAATATTCTTAATGGCAGGGTAAAGTGTGATTACTGACAGTGAACATAGATCCAGATCTAGCATTTTGATTATAATAAATACTTTCCATTTGAATTAGTATATAAAAAAAAAGGAATTTTGTCAATATAGAAAGATTTTTTTTCTAACTCAATGTTGAAAGATATAGAGATAAAGAAAGAGGACAAATGATAAAAAGAAGAGAGTACGTGTATCACTGAGAAACCAGAGAAATAAGCCTTGCTGGCTGTTGCCACACGAACTCAGCACCAAATATCTCTCCAGCCAATGGCTATTAACTTCTCTCCTGCACCCAATATCCAAAATCACGAAAATCACAACCCCACCCCCCACCCCCACACTTCGTTACTTTTCATCCTTCTAATTAAAAAAATTAGAAAGAAACAACACATTTTCATTTCAGTTAGCAACAGAACTCACACAATCACACTATCTTTCTTCGTCATTGCTAAATTCAGGTAAATAAGCTGAACAGATCATCTGAGATCTTCATACTACTCTTGTTTGATTTGATTGTTCTTAGTTGCACTAAATTGCTTTAACTTACTGTAAATCTGCAGTACATTCCCTCGTATTGATCGCCTTTTATACTTTCTGGTTATGTTTGCGTAACTATGTTATTTTCTGCATCTATTGCACAAACTTCATAAATTACTAGGCTATTAGATATGTAAATACTCGCATTTTTCTCGAATTTTTTCATGTCTGGTGAAATTTATGTTATGAAGATCCATTTTGTGAACTAGATGATTAACACAACTGGCTTCACTCAACCGGCTAATTAAGGATTAAAGTAGCATAAATTTGCTGTTTTCATAGCTCATAGATAAGTTGATTGGTCAAAAAACTCGCGGTAGCTTGTTTATATGAATTCTCTGCTTACAATCCTTACTTTAGAAATTAATTAATTCTAATTTTTTGTATTGTTTCTTATTGTGGACTTCCTGCCAGAAGATTGAGAAGGGAGATTAAATTTGAGAATCAACATAGCTCTTAGTCATCAGCTGGTATGGTTGTAATTCAGAAACCTTGTTAAACGCGGTGTATGGTCTTGGATTTTAGGTAGGTGTAGTGCTTGTGATGGCCATTGCTGCAGTTATCGGACTCTATGCAGGAAATAGAATCCTAAGCTCGTCATTTTATTATTCTGATCTTACTGAAAAGTTAGCTTGTAGTGGTGATCATGCTTTGATCTGCAATCCTACTTGGAATGTGATCAATGCTAAGAAGTCATCCAATTATAGCGCCGGCTATGTTTCCAATCGAAAAAAACAATCTGTTAAGGCTGTTAAAGAGCATGTGAACATTGCATCTAATCATTCTGATGTGGAGCCAATGGTTGAAATGTTCAAAAAGCTGCAGAATGAAAGCTTCAGTGAAGAAGATTCAGTGGAGGTTCTTCTTCTGCTGCAGAAATCTATGCTTGAAAAACAATGGAATCTTTCAGCTGAGAAAACATTGGCAGCTTTTCCACCAAATGAAAAGAACTGTAAAAAGAAGATGCAGATCACTTGTTCAGGGACTTCTGCTAGGCGGAGGAGAATGGATACTCGTAAAAGAGTTCAAATTCCAAAAACTTCAGCTGCTGCAAATAGTGCAAGCAAGCGACTGAGATCTGTTGTCGGTCCAGAGCTACAACAAAACCGTTTGAGAGGTTACATGAAAGGTGTCGTAAACCAAGAACTGCTTACACATAAGGAAGTCGTGCAACTATCCAAGAAAATCAAATTTGGTCTTTATTTAGAAGAACAGAAGGCCAGGTACTAAACTCACAACTCCCTCCAACTGTGCCACCCCTACTTTCTCAAACATCAGAACAGACTTTAGCAGCTGATCTTATCTCTTCAGTGAAAATTACTATAAAGAACTTAAGAAATATTGTAGAAGAGTGAAATATACTGTATGAATTATACTTTTTACCCATGAGAAGCAGAGTCATGAGGTTAATCTCTCTTCTCAAATACCCCATCCAAACGTTCTGTTCCGAGTTGGTCCAACTGCTTTTGATGTTTTCCTAACATTGCTTTCATAATATCGGAAGTCAAGTTGCTACCAATGTTTTAGGAGTGCTTGAAACTTATTATAAGAAAGAGTTATTAGCCTTTATGAATGCTGTGAGACTGAACCAGATTCAAGACAGTCTTAATGTTGCTAATGGTAGCTAGCTTCCTTATCTAATAAAAAATGAGGTAAATAAACAGGATGGAGACAGAATGCCTGAGAAGTGTTTAGATAATCTAAAGAGTTACTACTCCTTAGCATGTTTCTCCTTAATTGTCAAAATGTAGTTGTGCCTTCTTGAAGGCTATGATTTCAATGTTAATGACAGCTTGGCTTCTTTATCTCTATCACATTGAAGGGAATTTTTTTTTATTAAATTGATAGTGATATTTTGGACTAGGTATTTTCTTTCAAAATATGTTTTAGATTAATTACCCAGCTTGTTTAATCCATGGAAAATTTTAGTCTGAAGGAAAGATTGGGATGTGAACCTTCTGACGATCAACTCGCGGTTTCCTTGAAGATGTCTCTTGCTGATTTACGATCTACATTAATGGAGTGTTCCTTGGCCAGAGAAAAACTTGCAATGAGCAATGTTCGTCTCGTCATGTCAATTGCACAAAGATATGATAGCATGGGTACTGAAATGGCTGACCTCATTCAGGTAACTTTTTACTGTATGAACAAAGCTACAGATACAGAACTTCTTGCATTTGTGCATAGGTTATTATACTGTAAAATCAAACGTGGCACTTCTTGAGGAAAGTTCCTTCACGTGCATGTAGGGGGGCCTTATTGGACTACTTCGCGGGATAGAGAAATTTGATCACTCAAGAGGATTCAAAATCTCAACTTATGTTTATTGGTGGATTCGTCAGGTGAGATTACTATTTAGTTTTGTTTTTCAGTTTCTTGAAAACAACACAAGTTTGTGTTGTAAAATCACGAGGACCTTTCATTACCTATTGGCTATTTCCCCATTTCTCAGGGCGTCTCCCGAGCATTAGTTGATAACTCGAGAACCTTAAGACTGCCCATACATCTACATGAAAGACTGAGTTTGATCCGTAATGCAAAAGTCAAGCTTAAAGATAATGGAATAACTCCATCAATCGAAGTAAGTTCTGTCAAAATGAATTGATCGATATCATACTCTGAATGTTTCTAATAAAGTTAATTGTAAAGTATAACACTGTTCTTTTTGCTAATTTGCTTGTGTTTTTTCCTGATCCATCAGAAAATAGCTGAATGCCTTAACATGTCCCAGAAGAAAGTCAGGAATGCAACTGAGGTATGATTATCTTATAGCTTTAACATTTCCAGTTCATTTAGTACAAATTGCTTCTAAAATATTTCTTTTTCTAGGCAAGCAGCAAGGTGTTTTCACTTGATAGGGAAGCATATCCCTCTTTAAATGGCCTTCCTGGAGCAACACTTCATAGCGTAAGTCCAAACCATAATCTTTGCAAAAATGTATTCTAGATTTGCATTTGACAGCATTCTGGGTTTACTAAGTAATCCAAGACCGCCACTTTACAAAATGTACATATTGACTATCAATCTTCTAGAAAGATTTTAATCCAAGATCTTGAGGTCTTAGGCCCTTCTTTGTATGAGCCATTTTTCATCACTTATGTTTCATGGTCTACTTTCTTCTGCAGTATATTGCTGATAATCGCCTGGAGAACAACCCGTGGCATGGAGTTGATGGATGGGCGCTCAAGGTAGGTTAATGAAGAGACATCCTCACAATTTATTATTAAATATTGAACACATGAACAGTATTTAATATGTGACTTGTTTTCATATGTTAATGAATTTAACAAAATTAAACTTTTGAGGTATTTTGTCCTGATTTATCCCCCTCCCTTAAATTACAGAGGAATTAGTATTAACCCTGGTCCCTGGTAGATGCATGCCTGAAAGGTTCCTAGTGGCAGTTACTACTATTCTAGCACTAGCTCCCTGAATGAGTCTTTCCTCCTTGACTCAAAGTTAGGTTCGATTTCGATAAGTCAACTCATAATGATGGTTAGTTTCCCAGTTATAATTTTGTGCAGGAAATATGATCTTGGTCTACATTCTTTGTACCTTTCCATCACTATATTTGATTGCTGTGCTACCATAAAATCTTGTTCCCTTAAATTCCCTTCTTTTTGCGTTGCTGTGGTTTTTCTCTTCTATAACTAACTAGAACTGAGCCTCAATCTCAAACTAGTTGGGGTTAGTTTTATGATACTTCAGTAACCATATCACACCAGCAATCCAATATTTGAAAATTTAGGCTCTCTAGCACTAGAAGTTATAGATTCTATACTGTTATACAAATCTCTAACAAGACTAGCAAACTAAACCTGAATCACAATTGAATGTTAGTCCATATGGATCCTTTTTTCCCCATTTTGCCTTAATTATTTTATGCTGAGTTTGCATGTATTCCAAGAGACTCTAGGTCTTTTTAGACAGTTCTTCCCTATGATTAGGTCTACCTCCTATTTTCACTTGGGATATATGTAAACAGATTGGTAGTAATGATAACACCCCAAATTTGGGTCTGAGGATACCTGTGATATCAATCATGCTTCTCCCTACCTATGTTTCCCAGGAAGGGATGTTCTCTGGGGGTGCCTCCTTCGACGTTACATTTTTCTTTTCTTCTCATCTTATTTATCAAGACATTAACTTGAAATGTCTTAGAGAGTGAAGAAATCATGACTGACTTTATCTGTTTTGCAGGATGAAGTAAACAACCTCATTTCTTCAACTCTTAGGGAACGCGAGAGAGATATTGTCCGACTGTACTATGGTCTGGACAATGAGTGCCTTACCTGGGAGGATATTAGTAGAAGGTAAGAGCCCTAGTAAAATTGACTCTTTTAATGTAGTTAGCTAAAGATAAAGAAACTATACATGTTTAAATTCACAACAATTTGAACTTGGTTTGAAAAAATTATTGCTACGAAGTTTCTTATTTTGTTGAACCGTTGCTCTAAATTTATTTTTTCTTTCTTTACAGGATAGGTTTGTCCAGAGAAAGAGTGAGGCAGGTTGGATTAGTTGCACTTGAGAAATTAAAACATGCTGCCAGGAAAAAGCAATTAGATGCAATGTTGGTTAAACATTGAGTATGATCGTTGAGACCAAACTACAAATGAACTGTACATAGAATGTAAGGAAACCTGCATCTCCTATTTTATTTTCTTGATGAGGAGAACAGATGAAGATCAAAGGGACATTCTTCACCATCCACCTGTCCCATGCCTCCAAATTCGTCCGAGAAGAGTCAGAAAGATGTAGTGAAGATTTTTGTGCATCATATATTTTAGGATGTATCTGTGTTTATTGAGATAGTAGGTAGGTAAATGCAAATACTGTATATATGTTCTTTGTGTTGACTTATTTCATACACTTCATGTGATAATGTCCATTTTATATGATGTATCTTGATGAAAAACACAGTTCCTAAAATGTTAATCTGACTTTGTATACAATTTTAGTGGTAGTAGAAGAAAATATTTAAAATAATATTGTCAAATTTATTTCCTGTAGTAAAGAAAGTAGCACAACAAAGTTGAAATTTGAGCTCTTAATAGATTAAAAAGCTGTCTGGGAAGTGAAATCGGGTATAACAAGTCAGAAGTTCAAATACAAATTGTGTTATTACTTTTTTACTAGTATATAAAAGGGATGGAGTAGTTCTGTGAGCTTTTGGTATGAATTGCCACTTGATAAAAGCTGTAGTTTGTTTGATGAAGCTTCTAAAATCAACGTATCTTGAAGAGAGCTACTTTTGAGAAGCAATTTGTGTTTAATCGATAGATTTTGAAAATACTTTTGCAAGACAATTAGCATTCAACCAAACTTTTTCAAAGTGCTTCTAAGTACATTTTTCTGAAAAGTGATTTTGGAAAAAAACTACATTTATTTTCTCCTAAAAGCTTGATCAAACACCTTACTTTTTTAAATTCACACTTTTAGCCTCCCAAAAGCTTGGCCAAACAGGTTATAAGTTCCTTGAAAATATTGAGTTGGTGTTCTTGAAGATAAAACCCATGACAGCATAGACACTTAATCACATGCAATGCCTGTGCTAGTGAGAGGAAGCTGACTGAGACATTATGGTTACCCAAAAAAAAGAACCTATAGTTTGCACTCTGCATTTTACAGGGTTCTATGGACTAAGGCACATTGAAAATCTCCATGCAAGACAAAGGCTCAAGTATAGAGATTTTAGCCAATCATCATTCTTACAAAAAAGTTGTGAATGATACAGAAAAGTGATTAAACATTGACTGCCTAGCAGCTATCTAGTTTGTAGCTCTAATACAACAAGGTTCAGAGGGGCGAAAAAACACTAGGTAAAATTCCTTTGGATGCAAGGCTGAAAGCAAACCTTGGCTATTTAGTGTCTTGCTAAACAGATCAGTAGTTAATTAGGACAACTCCTTCATTCGATGTCATCAATCCAGTCGCCATATATTTTACTAATCTTATCCGGGCCTTTCCATTTTTTAAAGAACCTTTGGCCAGGCCTATCAGCTATGCCAGTTGGCCTTTGTACCTGAACACCCTGCCCCAGATGATAAACATCTGTGTGGAGTGCTGGAATGGTTGAAGGCAATGTACTTTCTGTTGCTCTTGATGGAACCCCGCCCTGCTTTAATTCTGGAGGAACAGAGACATAATCTTTGCCATCTGTTTCCGCAGGTCCTCCACCAAACTTGTTCAGTTCTGCCACAAAATAACACAAGTTAGTAGTTTGCACAGGATCAAACGGAAACATCCAACAAAATTTTGTAGTCTGGTCAAATGAAACAGGACAGCTATAGTTAACACAGAAGACCTCTGAACAATTAACTGAAAGATGACCAAACAATTGCACATTTAAGAGTCTTAGCATATAGGTCTTACAATCACGCAGATTATCTTTACCCTTAACCATCATGCAGGCACTCTTTTCCGCAAAACCAGACAGCTCCAAGAGTACCAACTTTTAGTCAACATTCAACTGCTTCCCTGATACTTAAGGTTCTCTTAGTAGCAAAACCATTGCCATGATTATGTCCGCATTTAGTGAAATTTATGAAGTTGATACCTAAGAGGCTCTCCCTATTGCACATGAAGGTATTGACATAAAACGTATACCACCAAGTTCCAGTAAATTTTTGTCTTCTTCTTCCTTTCAAAAATAATCAAATATCTAACCATTACCTGGAAAACTGCAATCCTTATTACTTAACATGCTCTCCAACTAATCTCTAGGATGTTCCCCAGTCTCTGCTGAAATTATTAGATTCTTCCACATCCAAGGTCTTGTGACTGCGCAAACTTCCAATCAACCGGCTCAAACCTTCTAATGACCTTAGTTCTTTAAAATCTTCATTTCATAGTCGTTGCATTGGCTCATCAACCAAATAACAAGATTCAGAAATTCAATTCCTTGGTCTTCCCCTTTTCTGTTTTGTTGGATATAACAAAGCCCACCTCACCTACCAGGAGCCAAACAATGACTTTTTTCCACTTTGCTCCTGCAACTCGAGTCCAACATCGCGGTTGGAGGTGGAAAGCCCTTTCCACTAGGTTATAAACTACTTCCTCTCAATTTTTTGGATGACTAATAAATCTATCTGGAGCCACCAGCAGCTTCTGAAACTCAGTAATGATGGGGCCACCTCTCTACTCTTCTTCACTTAAATATACTAGACTTAGTTTCCTTGACGCAGGGATCGAACTTGTGACCTAAGACACAAGTCCCTCAACCTTTGCCAATTGAGCTAACCCTAAAAGGCACTCCTTTCTCTCAGTTTCATCCAACTTATACAAAAGAAAAGAAATTCAACTTCATCCTAAATACCTATATGATGCCAATGAATAGCATCAACACGGAATATTGAATATTACATGCCATTTGGAGTTGCTATTCATTTTATCTTGTTTTTGGATAGGCACATGTTATTGTTAACCCAATAGTTCCTTCTTTTTTTTTCTTCGATAAAGTACACCTTCTGTTTTTTTATGTATCTTGGTTTGACTGGGTACGAAGTTTAGAAAACAAGGGAGACTTTTGAATCTTGTGGTCTTAAACTAAAGATGTGTATAATGTACTGAAATGTTCTTTGAATCTTGTGATCTTAAACAAGAAATGTGAGATGTTAGAATTAATGAGTTACCAGATATAGAAAGTGTCATTCTTTTCAAAACAAATTAAAAAGGAAAGTAAGAGTGTAAGACACATAAATTGCAGCGATGGAGTAATAATCTATTGATATTGTGGAGAAGAAGTATATTGTATAACAAAAAGTACAGAGACTTAAAAAAGATATGGATTATCTGTATACACAGGGGTACACCAAAAGTTATAATCAAAATCAAGAGCATACCCTAATAGTTGTGAAGTCGTATTTTATCCCTTGGCACAAGTATTTAAAGCCTCATCTATGTAAAGTCAGACATATTCACCTAATATTCTAACCATACATATAAAAAATGTAATGAGTTTGGTATCTGATGTCATTCAACAGATAATCTCATATATAGAGTTATCAATAAAGAGAAGGAAAATGACGAGAGTGAGTATAGTTTTAAGCAGACTAGTTGAGAACTTTCCCAGATAATACTTTCATAAGTATTGAAGTGATCCTATATAGAAAGAAACTTCAGTCTCTTTACTGGTATTTTCAGCTTGTCTAATTTCAAGTTTACACATTTAAGATGACAAGGCAAGTCTCTGTCCAACATAAAAGATAAAAGGAACCTAAATACACTCATCAACATGCATTTTCACATAGCATTCCAGCAAGCCAAAAATCAATATAAATCATCAATATTAAGCAATCTCATTATAAACATTGATAGATGATAAGATAAGCTGCTGTCCACCAGAAAAGATGGGCCTTAATACACTTTATCCACTTGCATTTTCACCTAAACAAAATTTAACCAAGCAGATCAACAATTGCAGCAAGCCAAATCAATCATAAATCATCGATCTTCAGCAATCTCAGTGTATACATTGATATCCTATCTCCCTACACCAGAAATAAGCAAAAAGTTATATCCATACCTGCCACACCATGAGCAAAATGACACTTGCTGCCAAACGGGCAATAACCAGTAGTCTCCCACTTATTACAAATTCTTGTCTTCCAGTTTGAAGGCTTTTGGGTTGCTCCAGTAGCATTATTTCCAAATCCACCAACAGTAGGAGTCACACTTATTGCAACACTCTCTCTAGACCGTGATTGTTCATCGTGAAGGAAAGTGCAACTATCTCCATAAGGACATCCCTCTTCAGTGTAGAACTTCTTGCAGTGCCTCCCTTTAGCGGACCTTTGAGGCTCCCCACGTAAATCAGGAGAGCTCAATATTGGTATCTGGTGTTCTTCTCTCAGTTCCACCATTACTCCCCGCTCATTTTCATGTGCAGCTACAATCTCTTGCCAATTAGGAGGTGGTTTGCGAAGCTCCTCTATTCCATGAGCAAAGTTACAATTAGTAACATAGGGGCAGACACCAGCACGGAACTTACAACACAATTTAGTTTTAAAGAACATCTTTCCGATTGCTTTAGAACTACTGGTGACTATAATGCGAGCATCTGAGTCCTGCACATTCCTTGACTTCTTGTTAGGAGGCTCACTCCCCGACCGGTTTTGTGAATGCCTACCATCCTGACTGGAATTGGAAGGGGTTTCACAAAAAGGACCAGTGTTCCAGGCTTTATAATCATCCTCAGTAGCCCAAACTGCCTGGTCAGAAAAATTAGGACCCCAACTGTCATAACCACCACCCCCGGCTGTGGAATCTGGGATCACATTCCCTCCAGCAAAACCAGCTTCACCCGTAAAATCCATATAAACAGCAGATCTGACTACCCAAAATGTTCAATTCCCAAAACTGATAAAATAGAGTAATATGACATACAAAAACAAGAAAGCTCAAACCATGAGCAAAAAGATTACACACTGACAGCTATACCTCAAAAGAATGAGAAAGCAGGAACCTCAAACCAACACAAAAATCCCAACACACTTATTGTCCATAAAGGAAAAAGAAATAAGAAACCTTCCTCTTGAAAATAAGGAATTGGAAGCTAAAAATCCTACCTTTTTCACTTGATTGTTACAGAACAACCAAAAATTTTCCTTTAGCGGGTACAACCGTTCCCTAATTCAAAAAGTATAGTACAACAAGTAATCAAACAAGATTGACCAACTCTTGCTCGAACACAATGCACTTCAAAAACCCTAGGTCTCATTAATTACTAACAGAAGAAAAGAAAGAAAACCCAACAAACCCAGATGGAAAAACAACAGCTACAGAAAAGGAAATTAGGGAATTCAAGATTAGTAAGTGTAGAAACAGTTGATTAAAGTTAACTCACATAAAGGAAACAGAATCTCACGACTAAAAATTGGAGTTAACAGAGATCAGATTATGGGATTACGATGCTTGATTGACGAAAATGGAAGAAAACGGGAGGAGCGGTGGTGGTGTGTCGTCAATTCATCGGACCTTATCTCCGCAAAAATAGCAAATGCCACTGTAAATCGGACAACTTCCGGTAAGATGATAGATTGTCTTAAATAGGGATTTATTTATTTACTCTAATTTCCTTTAGGGCTCCCATTAATTGAATTCACACTAAATAAACCTCAAATTTTGATTATTTTTTTTCTTTGTAAAAAAAAATAAAACAAGTAAAAATTACACAATAAGTATTATAGATATAATTATTTTCTATAATTTAAAACTATCAAAATTAAAACAGCTGAAAAACTTAAATAATGGCGAAACAGATTGTTAGAGAAAAGCACTAATAGTACGCTCACCTGAGATAAGAAGAAGCTATAAAATTCACATAAATGCAAAGTTAAGAACAAGAAAAAATGTAGAGAGTAGAGACGTCTCAGAGAGGAAGATGTTTATAGGTGAGTTATTTTTTTATCGAAGAGGATAAACTTGACGGAGAAATCAAGTGTAACTATCGAATAATACAGAAAAACAATTGTAAAGTGGAAAACTTTAAAATAAAATGACGGGAATAACCTCAAACTGAATGTGAATTCTAAAAAGCATACGCGTCGGCAAAGAGGTGTTAGCTATTCCCTTTTATTAAATAGTACTAGTTAGGGTATTCACGATTTGAATAAAAATCGATCCAAACTAAAAAATTGAATCAAATCGATAAAATCAACCGATTTTATGGGTCTGGTTTGGTTTGGTTTTAGATTTTTGAAAACCAATGGTATTTAGTTTAGTTATGATTTTATTAAAAAAATTTTGAAGAAATAACCGAACCAAAATGATGAATTACATACATATATTTTAATAATATGCATATTTAATATATTGTTTTTATAAACAATTTTAAAGATCTTATATATGTTTTCATTAAATTTTCTTTATAATTTACTTATTGAAAGCAAAAATTCCCAATGTGAAAATATTTAACTTATTGATTTCATGTATATGAGTGTCAAGGAACTGAAAATGTTATTGTCTCGTCCTTCTAGGCCAATATAGTGAATTTTAAAACTTTATTCATAGTAACTTCAATGATCGAAAATTCAGTAATTTCAGTCATTCTAACTATTTTTCGTTCTGAATGAATTGTTGTCACTTTTTTTCACATTATGAATGAACTATTTCTTTTATTATTGTGTATGGTTAATAACCGAATAACCAAACCAAACCAAACCAAACCGAAACCTATAACCACCAAATTGATAAATGTATATTATATTTGGTTTGATTTTGATAATTTTAAAACCGATTAAGTTGGTTTGATTTTGGTTTTGACCAATAACCGATCCAAATCGATCCGTGAATACCCCTAGTACTAGTGTTTGACACATGCGTTATATGTGTGCTCCATGTAAATAGTACATATATCGTGATTATATTAAAATTGAAATGTAACAAGTAACATGAAATCTAAAGTGGAAAAATGCAAGTTGAAAATCATTGAAAGTAAATATGAATTTATTTACTCCATAAACTTTAGAAAGTTTTGAGGGGTTGACAAAAAATAAAATTCACCCGAATTATGAAAATTTTAAGGGCTCCTAGTAATTGAATCCATGCAAAGAGAGGGGAAGTTGACTTCATAGAGAGGGGGAGATTGGAGGTGAGTTGTTTTTTTTATCGAAAGAGGTGGCTGTTTATTAGGTCGAAGGAGGTGAGTTAGAGGACACGATTGAAGGAGAAATCAAGTGTACGAGATGAACAATAAAGAAAAGCAATTGTAAAATAGAAAATCTTTAAATAAGATAACATGAATACGTTGAATTAAATGTGAATTTCATAAAGCACACACGTTAATAAGAAGGTGCATCTTATATTTCGGCCTCTTATTAGATAAAAAATATTAGTGTCCCACATGTATGTTGATTATTGCACTTATGTCCCGTACAAGCATATATATTATAATTACTTTAGTAACATAAAATCTACCGTGAAAAAAAAGTATAAATTGAATTTTTATTTTTCGATTTACCTTTTTGACTCAAATGTTTTTTATTAATTCTAGTATCTCAAATTCTCTTTATTTTTCTATATATAGGATTTTTGATCTTGATTTGCACGTGTCATCGCACCTTATTAGATTTGTTGGACTTGCACGCCAAAAAATTGTATCTAGTAATTAAATGGCGTGGTTGTGTTAAAGATAATATTGTCCCCGCTACATTAAAAATTGGGTCCACTTTTGCTTATTATTAATTTTAATATATATATTTTTTTAGAATGAAGTAGACCATATTAATTTTAATATCTTATATTTAAATACATAATTATTTTTATTTATAAATTTAACTTCCGCATTCAAAATATATTTATCGACTAATCCGGAAGGACTCTTTATGTGCTTTGTTGTAGGGACAAGAACAAGGTCCCATCATATCAAACGTACTTATATCAATTTAAACTTAAAGAATGTCAATAGTAGTTAACAAAAATATTGAAGAGGGTGTATGATTATTGATTACTTAATAAAGTTGGTTAATTCTGTATAAGACTATCCTTTTCCTTTCTGTAAAAGAAAAGTAAGCATTATAGAAATAGACCATTTGAAAACAACACCAAACCTGCTTGACCCATTCTTCATCTTTTATCACCTGCAAAAAGCAAAAAGAAGTAGATAGATAATACTCCCATTGTTTCTAAATTTTTTTTAATAATTTCCAATTTATACGACACATTTCATTTTCCAAGACAAAAAAATTGCTCATGAAATCTTTAAATGTTTTAAAATGAAATTTATATATTTATAAACTAAGTAAAATATACTAAAATCACAATAACGGACAATTCAAAAGACTTATTTAAATTTCGAAATTTGAAATGTGTTACATAAATTGAAACAAAGGGAGGAAGTTATTACTACTACTACCCCTGTAGCTAAAGCAAACATACCTCTTTTCTAAAAACAGGAAGGGTAGCCTTGTAAATTCCTCCTCCCAATTCAAAAGCTGAAACTGATATAGGAAAATAAATAAATTAGTATAACTGCTCTAGTATGGCTGATCACCAACCCAAATGATCTTTTTTTTCTCTGTAAATTTTTTCCCTTTATCCCATCAGTGCTAAAAGTAACATTCTTGATATAATTTCACAAATCTATGTGTTTATCTCTGTCTTGCATTTTTCTCCTTGTTATGAAGACAAATGTCAGCAAATTTAGCAGCGAATTTCCTTTGTGTTAAAGTAGGATTCTTGTTTTTCTTCAACAGCCAAAATGTCTACTAAAATCAAGTAAGTGCTTATGGATCTGAATTGTGAGTTGTCTTTACAATTTTAACATGTCTGTAACCGTTTTTTTTTTTTGGGCCCTCTTTCTTGGAAAGTTAAAAAAATTACCTTGTCTATGATTTTAAGCATCTTGTATTTGAATGTTGCCTTGTTATGGTATCTGGCTTGATCTAAGGATCTAAAATTTCACTCAATTTGGCAAAGTTTTCTGATGCATCTACTTCATGATTGGTAATGTTGCCCAAAAGTGAAAAGAAAACAATAAATAAGGAGAAAAAGATAAGTTGGATACTACATTTTGATAAAAAGTTTCCAACTTTGGCATGGATTGTTCTAATTTCCTTTGCAAATTACTAATTGGATGCTGTGGAGTTGGGGGTGGGGGATGGGGTTGATCTTGTGATTTTGCTTTGTTAGAATTGCTTGGAGTATCAGGTTTATCTAATTGTGGTGTATTTGAACTTGCACCAGATCAACATCAAGTGGAACTCCTAGTAATTCGACACCAGTAACTCCGCGGATCAGTAGAGTGAGCAGGGGAATAGCTAAATCTGATGCTGATTCGCCCTCTTCACTGCAGAATTTGCATCGTTCAGTTGATAAGACTGTTAGATCTGCTATAACTTCTAAGCCTTCGGTGGAACGGCGGACCTCTAAGATCAGTACTCTACCTGATGTGAGTTTCTCAAAATCCATTTGATGTTATGTGTGTAAGGTGATGTAATTTGAGTTGCATTGCCTTGATCATGCTATGACATTACGTCGAAAAAGGTTCAGATTCTGAATGTCTGTTGGATTAGTATTTGGATGCAGGAAAAACTAGTTTTCATCAAAATAGAGAAAGTTCTTCACTAGTGTCTCGATGAAACGTTTTTTTTTTTTTTGTCTTCTATAACTTATGCATTATTATTTACATTACCTGTTTGATTTTAAACTTATCAGAAAAAGCCAACGCGGATCCTGAAGCCATCAGAACTGCAATCTGAATTAAATGTTGCTCGAGAAGATCTTAAGAAGGCCAAGGAGATGTTGGCTTTGGCTGAAAAGGAAAAAGTGCAAGCTCTTGAAGAAGTGAAGGAAGCTCAGAAATTGTCTGAGGAAGCAAATGAGAAGCTGAGAGAAGCTTTGGTAGCTCGAAAGCAAGCTGAAGAGAACTCTGAAATTGAAACGTTTCGTGCTGTTGAGATGGAACAGGTGGGGATTGAAGCTGCTCAAAAGAAAGAAGAGGAATGGCTGAATGAAGTCGAAGCTGTGAGGAACCAACATGCTGTGGATGTGGCTTCTCTCCTCTCTGCTACACAGGAACTTCAACGTGTAAAGCGAGAATTGGCCATGGCTTGTGAGGTAAAAAATAAGGCACTTAGCAATGCTGAGGATGCCGCAAAAATTGCTGAAACTCATGCACAGAAGGTGGAAATCCTCTCAGCTGAGTTAGTGAGATTGAAATCTTTGCTTGATTCCAGGATTTCTTGGAATGAAACGGAGGTTAATGAGAAGAATAAGCTGGTGGAAGACCTGAAACTTGAGATAGAAACACTGAAAGAAGAACTCGAGAAAGCAAAAAGTTATGAAGCTCAATTGGTGGAAAAAGAAGCTATTGTGAAACAACTTAATGCCAATTTGGAGGCTGCTAAGATGGCTGAATCTTACGCTCATAATGTATTGGAGGAATGGAAGAAGAAGGTCGAAGAACTAGATGCTCAGGCTGAGGAAGCACACCATTTAGAGAGATCTGAATCAGCAACCCTTGAGTCGGTCATGAAACAACTGGAAGCAAGCAATGATCTGGTGCATGATGCAGAATGTGAGATTGCATATCTCAAGGAGAAGGTGCGCATACTGGAGATGTCAATGGCGAGGCAGAAAGGCGATCTTGAGGAATCAGAACATCATGCTCAAATGGCTAGGGAAGAGGTGTCTGAGTTGAGAAAGAAGGTGGATTCTCTTATGTGTGATCTTGAAACAGTGAAGGAGGAGAAGATTCAGGCTTTAGAGAATGAAAAACTAGCAGCAGCCAGTGTTCAAATACTGTTAGAAGAAAAAAACGAACTTGTAAATGATTTGGAAAGCTCCAGGGAGGATGAAGAAAAAAGTAAGAAGGCAATGGAAAGTTTGGCATCAGCTTTGCATGAGGTTTCTTCAGAAGCAAGAGAAGCCAAAGAGAGGTTGTTGTCTAACCAAACTGATCAACATGAACATTATGAAACACAACTTGAAGATTTGAAGTTGGAATTGAAAGCAAAAGAGGAAAAGTACGAAAGCATGCTTGACGAAGCAAAAGAGAAACTTGATGTTCTTACCAATTCCATCGAACAATCCAAAAACGGGCTAGAGAAATGGAAGGCTGAGTGGGAGGAAAAGGAGCTTCATCTGATGAGTTGCATGAATAAAACTGAAGAAGAAAATTCATCAATGGAAAAAGAAATCAACCGGTTAGTAACTCTGCTCAAAGATGCCGAGGATCAAGCTTCTGCCAAAAAAGACGAAGAAACTTATTTGAAGAATTCCCTAAGGAAATCTGAATCTGAGGTGACTTTTTTAAAAGAGGTCCTTGGTGAAGCAAAAGATGAAAGCATGAGATTGAAAGAACGTTTAGCAGACAAAGAAACTGAAGTGCAGAATATTTTTCGCGAAAATGAGGAGCTTCGAAGTAGAGAAGCTGCATCATTAAAGAAAGTTGAGGAGTTGTCAATGTTGCTTGAAGAATCATTAGCCAAAAATGAACCTGAAGCAAGTGTAGAGCTTTCTGATAGCGAAAAAAACTACAACATGCTCCCAAAAGTAGTGAAATTATCTGATCAAATAGAGAAGCCTAAGATGGAACTTCCACAAGTCAAAATCACTCCACATGATGAAACTGATCTTAAGGCCTCTAAAGTTATCGATAATTCAAACGGAAAACTAAATGAACTTGAGAGCAAAGCAAAGGCAGACGATGATTTGGGAAAAGATGAGCATAAAATGTGGGAAAGAGAGGCAGAACAAGAAGAAAAATCAGAGTTCTCTGAGAATGGTGGCACATCTCCTAATAAGCAGCAAAATCAGAAGAAGAAAAAACCTTTGTTTCATAAATTTGGAAGTCTACTGAAGAAGAAAAACACCAGCAGCCAGAAGTAATTGATCAGTTTATCAACTGTTTTCTTTTTTTTTTGTTTATATTTTCAAATAGGGGCTTAATTACATAAGAAAACAAAAGTTGCACTATCTTTAGTTTTCTGTTCTTATTATTTGGAGGGATTTGGTTCTCAATTACAAGTTGTCATGTTAGGAATATCCTTAATATTTTCCCCACCATTTCTTTCAGCTTTGTTTGTCTATTATATTTGGTTTCTCAATTGCACATGCTTTCAACATTTATCTCAGTTAAACTGGTGAGGTTATATTTTTTTTGGTCTTCCACCCTATGTACGGTGTTCTTATTGGAGTTTAGACTAAATTAGAATTGCATACTACATGGCTCATTCTGGGGATGACACTCCCTACAAGATTCTCTCAGTTACTTCTTCCGTCTAATACTTTTATTTGTCATGTTACACTTTTCAAAAGTCAATTTGACTAATTTTCAAAGTTAAATTAGATTACATTAATTCGATAATTTAAATAAAAATTTACGTATTCAAAAACTATACGAAAAATACTATAAATTGTGATTTTTTGCATATCAATATAGTGAAAAAATAATCATAACATTTAGTCAATTTTTTTTATAGTTTAACTCTAAAAAGAAAACTATAACAATTAAAAATAGACGGAAATATTATTACAATGAGGTAATATTCTGAGCAAGTGTCCACTAATTTTCACTTTGAAATACAAATCTTTACTACAATAAGCTTATAAATTTATTTATCTTATTTTAACTTACACATAATTTGAAAACGAAAACGTAAAAAATAATTTAGTATCTAAATTAAAAATAACTCAAATATATTAAATCATTTTTTAATCTTATAATTTTCAATATATCATCTAAAAAATTAAAATTAAAACTAAATGTTAATAAATAAAATAGAGATATTTTTTCTAACGAACTAAAGAAAAATAAAAAAAAACAATAATGTACGGACTAAGATACCCTTTCTAATTAAAGAATTGGTGTCCAATCAAGTTTGGGGGGCCGTGGAGGACTAGGAATTTGTGTCATATGAATCAAACTAAATGTTTCAAAGTCCTGAATATCCCCCCCCCCCCCCTCCCCGCCACCTGCCACGTGTCACGCTCTAATTTTTGCTCCCCAGAAACACTAGTAAAACGAATCTCTTTTATCAAACTGCCACCCAAAATTAAAAGTCAAAATCAAAATCCCCTCTTCAACATTTTCTTGTTTTTCATCTCTCAATTCAATTCGATAAACAGCTATGCCTGAAAGACGATTTCGCTTTGGTTACGTACTTGCATCGAAGAAAGTGTCAAGCTTTATTCAAGATTCACTCATCAATCACGCCCAAGAAAATGGTATTGATCTAGTCCCAATCGATCTTGACAAACCATTAATCGAACAAGGTCCTTTTGATTGTATATTCCATAAGCTATATGGTCCAGAATGGAGGAAACAGTTAGAAGAATTCGCGCTTCAGAACCCAACCGCCATTATAGTAGATCCAATCGACGCCATTGAAAAGCTTCACAATCGGCTCACAATGCTCGACGTCGTTAACGAATTGAAAATCGCCGGAGATAACGAAACTATCGGAATCCCTATTCAGATTTTCGTTGGAGAAAATTCGGAATCCCTTTTAGACGCTATTACTAGTCAAGGGTTACATTTCCCTGTCATTGCTAAGCCGTTGATTGCGAATGGTTCTGCTGATTCTCATCAAATGTCTTTGGTTTTGAAGCCGGAAGGGTTAGAAGGGCTGAAACCCCCAATTGTTTTACAGGAATTTGTGAATCACGGAGGAGTTATTTTCAAGGTATATGTAGCTGGGGAACATGTGAAATGTGTGAAAAGGAGGTCATTGCCTGATATTCCGGAGGAGAAATTGGGGATATTAGAGAATTTGATATCGTTTTCCCAGATATCTAATTTGACTGCTCAAGATCAGAATGATGATAGTTTTGCTGAACTGATTGAGAAGGCGGTGATGCCTCCATCGAGATTTGTGACAGATGTGGCTAATCAGTTGAGGGATGCTTTGAAGTTGCATCTCTTTAACTTTGATATGATTAGAGATGAAAAAGTTGGGAATCGATATCTTGTTATTGATATCAATTATTTCCCTGGCTATGCTAAAATGCCAAACTATGAGACTATGATGACTGCATTTTTCCTAGATATTGCACGCGAGAAGCTAAACAACGAGTCTCGTTAGGCTTCTGATGATCATTATAGGCCAGTGTAGTGGTTATACAGTTAGCCTTTTACTCTTTTATTTCAATGGCAGGTAACAAATTTTCCAGAAAATGGAAAAAGCTCAGCTGCAGATGATGCTGAAGTGTTTGAAATAAATTGCCTGCATCTTGAGGTAGATGTGAATCAAAAGAGGCTAACTGCTCTAATTTCGTAAAACTGTAAGGTGAAGTCTACTGACTTTTGGGGCAATTGATGCTTCTCTTTCATTCTCGTTTTTTCTTAAGTTTAGTAAATGAGATGTGGAATAATTTGGAACCGGTTGATAATACTTCAAAGTTTCAACTGTTATGTTGAATGAAGTTTTAAATTTTGAGGAATTGGTGTTTTTCAATACATGTTCAATATTGTGATTGCTCGAGCCATTTTTCTATCTTGTTAATTCCTTCAATATTTTGGTTGCCTTTGTGGGTAATTGGTTCAAGCAATCGTAGAATTAGTATTTTGTAGTCTTCTAAGATACATTTGTTTTGTTTTATTTTTCATGCTTCTTAATGCAATTCCTTATGCTTAGTAGAGGATGTCGTTGATGGCTAGAAAATTTGGTGTGTCCTGGGTTGGTGGCATTGTTTCTTGAATGGATTGCGATTTATGGTTCACTTAGATCACACTAACAGTTAACATCAGGAGTTAATTATTCTGGTGTGAGAAACTGAATGTTAGACCATACCAATTGTTTAAGGTGTCACAAACCTTATCATTTACCCACAGGGCTTAAATTTCCAGATCTACAATGTACAAAGCTTAGGTACATCTTAATCCTAGCCGTTGTCATTAAGTGGGCACCTTCTAAGGTTGAATTTGTGCCTAGACATCCCTGCTTGAACCCATTACTCATATAACTAGTCAATACATTAGATGTGGTTCGACACATAATTAGCATATATGTAGATATAACAGATTAACATCACTTAATTATAACTTCTGTCTGTAAATTAGTGATGTAAGAATGGTTCTGGGGCTTGGCGGTTAAATGGTCGGGGACTTGCAATATTTTGGGACAATGTGCTTGTTACAATTGTGACAAACAGTGTTATCTGAAGTACTGCACTTGTTATCCAAAGTGCTGCGGTAACTTAGTGTCTGCGCTAGCGTTACTCGTTGGTTCTTGTTGGCAGAGATGTTTAAGGAAGTTGATGTTTCTGCATCACAGCTGATGTTGCAATTTATTAATTGAGTACACCAAGCATACTCTATGAGGTTCGTTCTCCCTCACCAAGTCTAAAGATGTGAAGAACTTGGGTACCTCTTTGTCAACTTCACTCAATCAGTTGGCTTCTTGTTGCTGCACATTGTTAAGAAAAATTGAGTACATGTATTTAAGCCAAGAAAAATGAATCATATTCCTTATGTACATGTTCATACCATTGAATGAGCATTCCTTGTTACTTTTTGGTACAATGAAAAATACTAACAAGTTCTAAAATCGTTCATAAGAGTAAGATCTCCATTTCCTTAATTGCATTCTCCTATATAGACAAAATTTCTGCATATATGTGACCTTCTGTTGCGCTGTTGACTTCCAACAAGTATCTGCAATCTTCAATAATTGATCTTGAAGGATGAAGTTCTATGTCATCATGTTCAATAAGCTTTACAAGCATGTGGGGGAAGAAAGACGTGTATGTATAGGGTGGATATAACAATAATTATGCCTCAATTTTAAACAAGTTAGAGTCGAATATATGAATTTTCATTTCGTTCATATTATCTCATTATCTTAATAAATAAAATAAAATTAAAAAAATACGTCAAAAATATATAAATAATTAATACTTATAATAAGAATTTAGAATAAATGACTGTTATCTAGCTTACCGCAATTTTTCCAAACATCCTTCTTTGTCCACTTCTATCCGTGGAGGAATAATGTCCACGAAAGGAAGTACCACTTTCTTGACTTAATCAGAATGATTTTAAAGTCGTGCAAGTAATTTCTCAATACTCAGCTAACTATAAATGATTAATATATATGTCGTAAATTCAATGTTTAGGTGAAGTTAGTAATTTTTTATCTTTCTTAAGGTAAACAAATTTTGAAGTGACAGAAAAATAAATTGTAATCACAAATAAAATATGAAGAAACATAATTTATTGATCAAGATTATGAGTACAATTCTACTCCCCCTTGATTAAGATATTTAATTCAAGGGTCATTTGTGGCATATTTTTCGAACTAAGATGATTTGAATTTGATCCTTATGAATATTTTATGAATTTGAGGAATATTCGAGATGCTTCTTTAAGAGAATATAATACATTTTATATAAACATAAGCTAGGAATTGAAATAGGTTTGGTATATCTTCCAAAAATTCTAACCGGAATCAATACATATAGTATCCCAACTAGAATTGAAAACGTCTTACACAGTCATACACATTTTCAATGTCTACAATATTTTATAGCGGATCACAATTATTTCCTATGGTTTTAAACCTATTTTAATATGAAAATAATTTTTAACACCTCTCGCCGCTCTATCGTAGATTACCTCCTACTTCCTCTATCATTTATGGTTTGGTTGGTTAGCTAGAGAGGTACATTATCCCCACAAGATTTTGCATTTATGTATTTAAATAAAAAATAATGTCTAGTTCCTTCCTTCTCTCTTTTGTATAGACATGAATTATATCAAATTTATGCATAATAGAATATTCAGAAAAAGTAAGGATATTAGCCATGAAAAATTAAATAACTAATTTCCAAAGCCAACCCTCTTAATAAACAAATTTTCAAAAAGAAGCAAACAATTATTTTCAAATTATACAATATACACTATGCGATAATAACTTTTAATACAATATTCCCACATTTAACAAGAGATTATGTATTCATTTTTATATTACTACGAACTTGTCTTGCGAATCACTACATTACCTCTAAAACCAAATCGACCTCGTTAACAAAATCTCTAATATAATAGTATTCCCTTACTCCTATTTAGTTAGTAAAAAATAAGTTTTATAAGTTCTTTAAAAACTGTAATTAATAAGGAGAGGATCAGATTAGTTTTATTTTATTAACTCTTCAGTTTTTTTAATCACATTAGTTTAATTTTAATAACTAATTAAACTTTATTTACGTGTCTGTGCACTTTTAGAACAACTAATGTTTGATAAATAATCATCAAAGAACGTAGTGAAGCAGGCAATTTGCTTGACCTCTCAATTTTGAGTTTTAAATATAAAAAATATCTTTAGTAAAAAACCTTTCTCAAATTAATTTAGGTTGCGTATCGATTAGTTCGACTTGATTTAAAATTTTTTGAGTTTTACTTATAATCTATTGGTTATTCATTATTATTTGATCATTATCAATTAAGATTTTATATACCAAATAATATAAATATAATTTAATAATTTAATAAGGAATTATTAATTAATCCATTAAAATAAAACCTCAACTATTAAAACTTGATTAACTTTTTTTAAAAAAAAAATCATTACCAATATCACTAAATTAATACTCATCAATAAATTTTTTTTGAATTCGATTTTGAAGCTCTAAAATAAGCCAAAACTCGGCGCTCATTCGAATTAATAAATCAAAAAAATGGTTGACAAGTAAATGGGAATAAAAGGGGTGGACGCATTTATTCTTTGAGTAATTCAGTCTGCACTCTGCTACTTTCTCTTTATCTCTTTTTTTCCAAACAAATTTTCTCTCTCACCATCTCCTCGAATCGCGAGACCTACAAACCATTTTCTGGTGCCTCGTGTAACTTCTGCTTCTTCGCATCTCTATCTGTGTATACCAGGTGAATAAACAGAGCAACCGTCAGAATGTCGCCGGACGGCGAAAAAACTATGGAAGGAGTTCATGAGATAGGAAATCCGCTTCCGCCTTTTCTGAGCAAAACGTATGACATGGTGGATGATCGGTCGACGGACTCTGTTGTGTCGTGGAGTAAGAGTAATAACAGTTTCGTCGTATGGAATGTGCCGGAGTTTTCCAGGGATATTTTGCCCAAGTATTTTAAGCACAATAACTTTTCCAGCTTCGTCAGGCAGTTGAATACTTATGTTAGTAAATTAATAAAATTCTTCTTTGTTTCATCGCTCTTACGAAATTTATGCATGTTCGTGTTTGCAGAAATTTACTTAAACCCTAAATAAACCACTTTTTTTTAAGTGTTGAATTGGATTCTGAATGTAGCTAATGTGCATCGGTCTGAATGAAGTTGAAATATACTAATAATTTTGAGACACAGCTGATTGCTATGGTGATTGTTTCTGCGAGATTTATTTACGTTTTTTCTGTTGTTTTAGGTGTTTTTACTTGGATAGGTTGTTTTGTAGCTCTTACTATAAGATATCTTATTTGTCTTCTATCTGTTGATATCTTATCCTGAGATTATATATGATTAGCACATTGAGTTGGAAAGATGTTGCAAAATTTGAGCAAATAGGCAAAAACTTTCTATCTAATTAGAAGAGAATTTCTGATTAGTATATTAGTTCAGAATATCATTCAAAGGTTTCATTTACATTTGAGTACTTGTCCTTCCTGCTATTCAGTTTCATAGTTAGCAAATTCTGTGCTGCGTAAACCGATTATTAGTTGGCCATGGCGAATATCTTAAATAGAAAAACTGGGGGTGACTTGAGGCAATCACTATGTATGCAAATGTTATCTGTAAAAGGACTTCTATTTATTTAGAGAAGGAACGCCAAGGAGGTGCAAGGACAAAGTTCCTGGAAGCTCAAAGGTTTGCAGGGTTGGTAAAGCAGACTTAATCTCCTGGAAGTTTATGTTTAGGGCCTATCTTGAATTCAATATTTGGAAGATAAATGGTAATTTCAGTGTTTGGTGTGTTTTGCAAAGTTGGGTTCAGGGCTTGTAATGTTTTCTCATGGGATAACAGTATTCCAACAGGAAAAAAAGGTCTGGTTTACCCCCACCACAAAAAAAAACAAAAACAAAAATAAGAAACATCAATATTTCCATTTATAATGTGTTTGTTGCATGTGCTGAAATATTGACTAAATTGTAAGCAAGCAAAGACATTTTTGTTGGAAAAAGTTGATATATACAAATCACTACAAGTATTACAATCTCACATGACTCCATTCCCAATTT